TACAAAATTACCAGCGGACTAATGTGATTGGTGGTCGTTCGACGCTGTACGTCCACATTGTCTCTAAGGTTAGTTTAGAGGCCGTCCCTGTCGTGAATCATATGAGACTCTCGCTCACAAGTATTTTTGACCAATGAGCCTCGTGTGTTTAGTATGGCCTGTCCTGGTGCCGTTAGTGTCTACTCTGGAGTTGATTCACGAGTGCGATGGGATTACCTGGGTTTCCCAAATCGAGAGAATCCGTTGGTATCCAATTGTCCGGTTTGCCACGCTTCACCTGGAAAGCAAATGCGGATAATCGGTCGTTGCATTGCCTCGCAGTTTTGTGGCATTGGATGAAAGGACTACCAACTACAAGACTCACGGATACAAGCACCCAATATTCAAACTGCGGTCTACGGTTAGCGGAGACGTCATATTGCCTCATTAACTCACAGTTCATATCGAGAGATGTTACCGGAGGAACTGCGTTCTTTCGTGTCCCCGCGTGTTGAGGTGAAACTTGAGGGATAATGCAGCTAAACCTAGTCGAGTAGGTTAGGACAGGTCACCACGTAGACGACCTAGTTCAACGGCTAGTGATCAAGATATTTCAGTCGCTTTCACTAGTCTCTAAGTTGACGAACAACATATTTTCGTGGCTGTGTTGATCAAATTTAGTATATTGACAGTCCTTTCATAATCCAGTATGAATTACCTGACTGACGTGCTCCATCATTGGTCTAACTTATACGCCATACCGCATCTCTAAATCCGCGAGTGTCGGTCCAGGCATGAAACATTCAATCGTTTTCATGACGAATTATGTGCGATTTTCTGATAGTATGGCGAGGACATAGTGAGAGGCGATCAAATATCAAGATCTTTTTTTGTGCCCACCCTGAATAATAAAGCCATTGTGTGCTCTGAACAGTTCTGCCATTAGGACGGTCATAGGTGGGATTGTAGTAGACTAGCAGTAAGTCCCATTCCCATCCACGTGCATTCATTTTTCCACGATAATGCCTCCATATGAATTGTGTGGCAGCGAGGCATCAGTGTTGCAAAGCGATGTTATGCTATCGATGATGCTGAAGCTGTTCCCCGTGTATAATAAATCATAATCGTTCAGCTGTAACACACCTTCATCACTTAGCTGCTGTGCCACCAGAATGAAGTGTAGGACCCGAGGTACTGCCAGTCTGCTAAGCCTAGGCAGGAGCAATCGACATTCTGAAGTTGGGTTTGAATCACGGACTTTCCGGTCACTAAGTTCGCGCCATAACCACTGAGCTGCCTCGAGCCGAGGCACCGAGCACCATCACTGATTCTTAGCAGTTTTTTGAGTCAGTCCGCTTCTCGAATGGAGAAAAATAGAGTATACGAGCACCGACTGGCGTTTGAGAGAGCATATGTAGTAATCTTCATAGGGCATCATAAGCAGTACACGTCTGACGAAACTCCAAGAAATTCCGAACCCGCGACCTCCGGGGCAGTAGTTCGATCACTTCGCCGTTCTGCCGCAAGCGGCTAATCAACAGTGTGATTAACTTGCGTTTAGACGGGATATAACACCACTCATCCTTCAGTCACAGAACTCAGGTGCGATTTCCGATCGTATTTTGAAATGACCCTTCCTTCGAGCTACACGTAGATGTGAGGGTGTGAGGGAATTTGGGAATTTTTAATCGAGACTTTGTACTGTTGGCAAAGTCAGTCTTATGAAAAGTTGGAAGGCAAGGTTTGGTTTCGTCCGTATTGGCAGTGGGCATCTGGCGAAACTCCAGGAAGTTTTGAACCTTTTACCTCCCACAAGTCGTTCGAACCATCCAACGATCAAACATCCGAAGAAGTTTGAGGTCTTCGGTTCAAGGGGGTCAAGTTTCACAACCAAATGTTCAGGTTATTCTTACAGTTGCTCTGTACATCTGACGCTACAAATGCTTAGGCCAGCGAGTCTCGTTCCGGTCAACATACTCATTTTTCTCCGTGAAGTTTCAGAAGGACCTGAAATCCTGAAGCATTACTTTGCGCCTTGAAGGTGTAGGACGCATACCGCAACCGGGACTCACATCCGGAATTCTTTTACACGACTGTGTGGACTGATGATTGTCAGCCAAGCCTAGTAGTTTCCCTCTAGATATAAGTTCGGCACAAAAATTCTCGAATTGTGCAGCCCATGATAATATAGATTGCGAAGATAAACCGGAAGGGAAAGGAATAGCAGTCATGCCAAACACCGCTAGTTTTATGGAGATTTCTGGATAGTTGTAAACTGTTACCTGGACCAGAATTATGGGAACAGAAAGAACGGAGTATATTCACGAATTTGAGACATCTCTTTTGGCCGGGTGAATGCACGAGGACCCGTTCACAAAGTCGAGGAAAGTTGCCTTGGTGACTGAAGGCATGCCTAGCGTTACTTGAAAATTTGGTGTAGTGCAAAGATGTGGTCAGTTCAACCCAAATTCAGATAAAATCTTGTTTCGTTGGTTTTGGATTTGCATCTCCATTGCCGGAGGCAGGTAGTATCATTGAATCAAATAGCCACGTTATGATAGGTTTACGGATAGACGAAGTTAAGCGTTTCCGACAGATTCGTGTTAGTCACATACCCTTACTTCGAAGCACAGTCTTCCGAAATAGTTTGGCAATGTGATATCCGCCAACGACCCAGCCCCGAATTCATGTAAACTACATTGTCATCAGTTACCAGTGATGAGGGTTGATCGTGATATGTCGTTGCTTCTGGAATCCTACGTGGATCACAATCATTTCCCTGTCCGTTTCTGGTTTTTACTGGACTTCTCAAGTGTACGCAAAACAAGAGCATCTCGTTTAGCCGTCGAGAGGCTTGTGGGCCGAGAAATAAGAGAAACCACTCAGAACCTGTTCCTTCAACTCGCCCACGATGGGTATACTGATCACGTTCCATAGGTTGCACTGCTTACGTGCCCCGTATGCCAGTTGGCCGATTGTTTCAAGTAAGCCTTTTCACATAACCATGCGAAGGCTGTGCTCGTTCAGCTGTAACACTCTTCGGGTGTCTAGCTGCCATGCTGTCCGAAGGAAGCGCGAGGGCTGGGATACTTCCAGGTTGCACAAGCCTAGACAGGGGAAGTCGGGAGGCAGATTTCGGGTTCGAACCACGGACCTTCCGGTCAGTAAATTCGCGCCCTAACAACGAGCCATCTCTCTGTAAACAAGTCATGGAGGTCAAACACCGGCTTGGCAGCTACTACTAGCTAGCTACTACCAGCAAACTCATCTGCGCTAGTCATTTCCGTCTTCCTGGATGGGGACTCCGAAACGGACCACATCAATGGTTAGGGATATTGTCACACATTGCCTAGTCGTGCACTCATTGGTGCGCATCCGTCCAAACTGCTGCTTCCAATACAAAGCTCCTTCCGACATCACCGATGAAAAAGTCCACTGACGTCCCCGTATTTACGCACAAATTATATCAGCTACCGCGTCCAATACATAGCTCTATATCCCTTCCACAGCAGCTCCTCATTATCAGAAGCAGAAGCATCATTGTTGACACTGACGCTTCACTGAAGTACAGCTTTGAATCTCATCTAATTATATTTGAAGCCTCAGAGTTATGAGGAGGGGAAAAGAGTGGGTGAGAGACGGCACCTTGTGCGGGTCTATGTCACGCATTCTAAGGTGCCTACACCTCCAGGTGCTCAATCTAACAGTCTGGAAAGAAGCTGACAGCACGGACGCTACTGACATAGATGAGCCGCCATTTCTTGTAGTGTCTCCAGCCAAGTGCACGCGAGGTCACAAAGACCCCATCCTGGAGGGCGTACAACGCCCAAACTCTTAGTAACCTTTTTCACGCCCTTCTATCAAGTCATACGTTGCTCACCTCGCGGTTTGCGCCATTCAGAAAGAGGCACGGAGAACACTCGTCTCGATAGACTGTGTTTCGGCATACATAGCTGTAGCGGTTGTCCAATCTGATTAGTGCATCCGCATCCACTGTCTCCCTCGTGCTTTGTTTTGTTCCATATCCCACAACCTGCATCACCAGACAACATGTGACTTGTCTGCAACCTTGACTGATGACAGCGCCTATATGATCTCTTTCTAAAGGGGAGTATTTGTAACGGTTACCCTTCTGCTTAATTATCCCTCTAATCAATTTCACACCGGCAGTTACTGCCCCCATTCCGTTTTGTCTGTCTCACAATCACGCGTCAACATCGTGACATGAATACAACAACATGTCAACTCCCGTTCCATGACCTTTTGAAGGACGCCAGGTGATTTCACATTATTGTTTTCGCGTTCCACACATTGCAATGACATATATGTAAGGACAACACGGTCAACCGCACGCATCACGCGCGCGTCAGAACACAGACAGGCCCAACAGACCAAAAACTGTGGACAACCAGGAACGTGTAGCAGTGAATCTGCGAAGACTACCTGCACCCAAAAGAACTCGGAGGAACTATTAAAAATTAAACTCAGAACGATAAGTCCTCCTTTCGAACCTTTTTATTTTTTGGTATTGTATTTGACTTGATTAAGGTGCACCTAGTTGTTGTAACCTCACGCTCTCAAAACACAGGCTTTATTAGTGTGTTTTGCCTTCCGATTTATCTAGTGGTTTTTGTTGTTAAAAACACTAATAATTGGTGAGCCCGACGTGACCATACCATGTCAGATCCTCTTGCACAAGTTATTCCCTCTCCTTTAACTGCAGCGATACCCAACATCAACGCCGCCTCTGTTCATCTTCCACCATTCTGGCACCACGACCCATGCATCTGGTTCACACAAGTTCAAGCTCAGTTTGCCCTTCGCGGAATCGCCCAAGAGCACACTATGTATTACCATGTGCTTGCAGTGCTCCCTCCTAAAATCGCAGCCGACCTACGCGACATTTTACTGGAAGGTATGGTGACATTATTGAGTGCTCGATAGTCTCCTCAAGGGTGCCAGCCGGAAGATGTTTGTTTGGGGACCATATGGAGGGGCGAAGTCCACATACTCTGAGAAGGTCAGATGATGCCTAGCTGAGGCGTGTGTTGAAATTTGTCTTCGGCTAACTGTAATCTCTCTGGAGCCAAACGACGTGGACGGGTAAAAACCGGAGGACCACGTGTATGAATGTGATGAACAACGGAATGTTTTGGTTTGGGGTCATGGAAATTTGGTTTAGTCAAGTCTGGAAACTGATGTAGCAGTACGTGAGAAGTTGAATCGCCGCTTTTAAAATCTGTGATTGGATAGATGGAGGACAGAACGATAGAATGTCCTTTCGTAGACAGTTGAGTATTTGCGTTAATAAGACGTTGTTGTCTCAGATCTACCAAAAGGTTGAAATGAGTGAGGAAATCCGCACCGATAATGGAATCCTGGACGTCAGCAATTACGAAGACCCATGGGAAGTCGTGGCGTAGCCCTAAATTTAGTCGTAGAGTGCGCTGTCCGTAAATTTTAATGAGAGAACCATTCGCGGCGGTAAGTGTAAAAGAAGAGGGGATGGGTTTGCAGGAAACGGCACTTACAGGGATAATGCTGATATCCACTCCAGTGTCCACGAGAAAATTGAGGCCGTAGGACTTGTCGACGATCGTAAGGCGGCGAGTAATATAAGTGGGGCATTGAACTTTAGTCGCCTCCATAGTTCGGCCCTGACTTCAACAGACACGTTTTCGTCGGATCTAATACGAAAATGTGTCTGTCCAGGCTTGGGCAACCTGGCAGTATCCCAGCCCTCGTGCCTCCGTGTTGCATACCAGCTAGGCAGCGAAAGAGTGCTACAGCTGGACAATCTTTTTCAGATCTAATACAACTACCGAGGTATGTAAAACTCTCTACAAACTCTAGTGATTAAGTTCAGGGATTAAGTTCAGAGCCTGCGCGTTCTGAAGCATGGCGTTGCACTTTTGTAGGTGCTAGACACATGCCGGAAGATGATATGACGGTGGTCAGTTTATTCAGGAGAGGTTTTGCTTAGCAATGGTTATGTTGCCCGCATACTCCAGATCGGCAAGGCTCTCACCAGTAACAATTTGAACACGGGTATTTTGAATACCTTCCAGCTTTCGCCTTATTATTTCATGAATGGCAGAGTCGAACAAGAACGGAGGGCGTTGACATCCCAGCCGGGCACCAGTTTTTGTTGGGGAATCGGATCGAATCGTTCAGCTGTAGCACCCTTTCGGCGCCTAACTGCCTTGCCACCAGAAGGAAGCATGAGGGCTGAAATATTGCCAGGGTGCCCAAGCCTAGACTGGGAAAGTCAAGAGGCAGAGGTCGATTTCGAACCAGGAACCTTCGGTCAGTAAATGTGCGCTCTAACAACTGAGCCATCTCGCCCTTTTTTGTAGGAGAGCCTTTAGATAGCTCATCATACACTCACACGCTCAGAAGTACGTTATTACAAGCATCGGATCATGTTCACAAACATCTGGGGCATACACTGTTGAGCAAGTATGGTTAGCGGTACTAAGTGATCGACAGAGTCGAACGCACCCTTGAAGTCAAGGAGTACCAAGATTGTGGGTCGTTCGTACATGTGCACCTGACGCAGCGTAAAGATTTGGCCAAAGCAGCCTCTACCCCGTCGAAATCCCGCTTGGTTCTCGCAAGTCAAGTTTTCACGTGCCACCGTAAGACGACGAAGAATCAGTGACGCCAGAAGCCTTGTCACAACAGGAGTCAAACTAATACCTCTGTGGTCACTACATTCACCGCGAGTACCCTTTTTGAAAATAGGCACTATTATCGATTCACCGCAGTTGTCTGGGTCTGTCTCTTTCTCTGTGATGGACCCAAATAGGCTGGCTGAGAACTCCACCACCATCCTTGAACAGAGCAAGTGGAAGGTCGTCAGGACCAGTAATACGATGATGCTTGAGTAGAGATACACACTCGGACACCTCTGAGAATAAAGTACACCTTTATGTTGAAGGTCAGAATTCCGGATTGGATGTAGCAGGTAACCAACTGAATTGCTGTCTGAAGTACTGTGTCAAGTGGTCCAAACACTCCTTTGATGGATATCAGGATGATATTTTCGTCTCTTCTAATTTCCCTCCAAGAGGATTCCGAGGACTAGTCGGATGCATCAAGTGGAACAGTTTTCAGACGTTTTCAGAATTTTTCACACCTTCCATTTTGTCAGTCTTTGTGGTCAACCAAGCTTTTCGGTCTGCGCGGACACTGTTTCACTTGGCGTCGGATGATGCCCCGGATGGAGTTGTGGTTGCGGCCAGGGGGAATCTATCTCCATGCCTCTAGCAAATGTTTAGATGGCGTTAGCTGGGTTGTAACGCTAACATAAGTTCCGGCTCTGAGTAGCGCTTTGGATATCTTTTCTCAATGGTGGTTTATATCTCACACCGGACCGTCCGACACGTGTCCAAGAGCCCGTTCTGATGGCTTCGTTTGAGTTCTCGGTCATCATCATCATCATTGTCAGCTGTATTAACCGCGTACTGGTCGTAAAGTGATTGTGGCTGCCACAGTTTTGTTCATCGATGATTCGAGGAGGTGGGCTGTGTAGCTGCGTATTGGAGGCGGGAGCTGGTAAATTAGTGCCGAAATACAGCACTGTCAGTGGACTGTTAAGTGGGGATTGGGAAGGGAGCTATGCATTGAAGGCACAGCGTAATTGAGGGCGTGACTGGGCGATGTCTGACAATATCTCTAACCATTGATGTGGCCCGGCAATAACCAGCGCAGCTGAGTTTGCTACCAAGTTCGCTACCAAGTCATTTTTTGACCGCCTCTGGTACGTTTCCACCCTTCACATGGTTGTGCGGAAAGAACCCTTCGAGGAAGTTGGTTGACAGGCATACGCAGTACGTGGCCAAGCCAGCGCAACCTATGTAGTGTGATCAGTGTGTCTATCGAGGGTGAGTTATTTCTCCCGAATACCATTCGACGAACTTAAGCACCGCTGATCTGGTGTTCCTGCCAGATTCGGGCAATGCTCCGAAGACATCGATGGTCAAACACTGAAATCTTTTGACGTCCTCGGCGCGCGGAGGCCAGGTTTCTGATCCGTATAGTAATATGGAGCACACCGCAGCGACCCTTGATGGATAAGCTGATGTCACAGGTGACGCAGGTTCACAAAAGCTGCCCTGGCCTTCCCAATCCGGATGGAAATATCATCTTCCCTGAGACCACCGGGACTGATACAGCTGCCCAGGTGAACAAATTTGTCTACTACCTCAATCGGTTCATCCGCAAGCATGAGGCTAGGGTTCGAGCCCACCCAGTCTCGCAGTAGCACTTTTCACTTTGCAGGTGTGAAGCGCATGCCGAACCGCGAGGCAGAATTATTTAGGTTAGTTAATATTGCTTGCATTACTACGGGGTCAGATCCAAGAAGAGCTATGTCTTCTGCGTACCCGATGTCTGAGCGGAGGCCCAAGGGGCACTTCGACCCCACAGACATTCGAGACTGGTAGTGAGTCTTCCATAATCACACCAATGACAAAGTTGAAGAGGAAAGGGGAAAGAGGACAGCCCTGTTTGACAACACTTGATGTGGTAAACTCAGGTGAGTGCTTCCCGTGGACCTTCACACGGCCGCAGGAGTTGGCGTGCAGCCCCTTAAGGAGGGTAAATAATTTATGGGGGGACACCTTTGCTCCACAGATACTGCAATAGTGTTTGACGGTCCACAGAGTCAAAGGTAGCTTTCAGATCAAGAAACACAACCATTGTTGGCTGCTGGAAGCAGTATCGTCTTTACAGAATTTGTCGGAGTGTGAAGATATGATCTTTCAGGACGGAACCCAGCTTGGTTTTCACGGATCTGCCTCTCCCTTTGTTCAGTCAACCTTCGAAGGATAAGACCAGAGAACACCTCCGATGTCACAGCCAACAGGCTGATGCCACGGTGCATACTTTTCACACAACATCCACGTACCCCTTTTGAATATAGGGACAACCGTTGACATGCCTCATTCTGCAGGCACCTTCTCTTTGTTCCATATGGTACCAAAATGCCTTGTCTTTGAAGAGGGCTGGAGACAGATCGTCCCGTCCTGGTGCCTTCTCACGTTTTAGTAGGGCTATTTCGTTCATTGTTTCGTCTTCTGATGGGCGATCAAGGTTTACATTCCGTTCGCCCGCGTGCATTTTCCCCACAGGCTGTGTTGCAGAAGGCCAGCTGAACTGTTCATCGTAGTGTTTGGCCCATCTTTCCAGTCGACGTTCTTGCGAGTGAATCAATAAGCCATCTTTTTCACTGATCGTTTCGCTGACTGTTGCCTTCCTAGGGTCCGTCGATCGTATCAGTTGACAAAGGGCACGGCTGTTCCCCGTAGGAAAGGCCTGTTAGTGTTATTATCTTTTACTCGAAGTAATGTCAGAAGGTGAATAACACTGACAACAAACAGTTATGTATAGCGGCTACAAGGGACACTAGTACAATTGAATAATATACAAAAAGGAAAAAGACTTATCGAGTTCTTCGGTTGATAAGTTTTAGCAGATGATGCCGAAGTTTGTGTGTTGAAATCTGGTCTGCTTTTGTCGTTTAATCCAAACGATATCGAGCCCAGACTTTTACTGCACAGAGAGTCGTGCGTACATTTGAATTGACTCTGGTCAAGGCGCCGTGTGAATTGACAAGCGTCGGCATCCTGCTGGTGTTGTTCCGCATATATGTAAGTTTACGTTGTGAGTGGGGATGCGCTTGCATTGTTTGTCTTAGGATAAGATTCCAATAATCTCGGTTAGTCGTGGGGCGAATGTTCATGACATAATCGAAACAGGAGTGAAACAGTGGGTGTGCATGTGTGAAACAAATTATGTGAGTGGTTGAAGGTAAACATTGATGAGGTAGTAACCGAACTGTGAAAGTGGTTGAAGATAAACGTTGACGAGATGGCAACCAAACTCTGCTAAAGCGGTTGAAGATAAACGTTGACGGGATGATAACTAACAGGCCTTCTCCATCTCCCGAGCTTTCGATGTCCAGCAGAGCTCTCGGTCTTTCCTTAGACCCTTCATTTTTTGGCGTTTGAGGGAGTTGCGTGCGCCGTCGAACGCGTTGCTTGCTGGTATAGCTTTCCTGGCTTCAATCCTGGATAGCGATCTCAATCTAGGTCTTGTGGTCGATTTGGAGGAGCCGAACAGACAGCACTGAACGCCGCTAACCTAGCTCCTTTCACACTGCCACGCTTCATCCACATGCTCAATGCCATTGCAATATGGGTTTGCTGTGGAGAGTTGTCGGGCTAGCTCAGATCGATACTGTTGAGCTGTCGTAGTTCTTCGAAGACAGTGGATTGGCATGCTTCTTGGTAACCTGCGACGGCACGAAGGGAAACGAACTGTCAGGCGTGCACGCACCATAGCGTGATCGGAATCAAGTGGTATGCCTCCGAAGGAACGGCAATCTTGAATTGTGGCTCTCCCTGATGGGTCCACGGTTGACTTGCAGTTGGTGTCCGCCAGGTTACGCGGTGCGAACATTTATGTTGTTCGTGATCAGCACACAACTGAAGGAGTCTACCTCCGTTGTCTGTGCGGCGAGCATCGACTCCGAATCGACCACCCAAATGTGATTCCAGGGAGCTCAGACGACCTACTTGAGCATTCAAATCGCCTGCAAGGATCACGATGTCAGTGGTTTTTGCCTGACGAATAAGCCCGGATAGCTGTCTATAGAAAGTATCCTTTTTGGCGTCAGAGCTGCAGTCCTTTGGGGCAGTCCGACACGACAAACAGGCACTGCACTAATGCCATAACGGGTTACTAAACTCACTACGGGTGCCCTTTTTGAAGGTGAACAGGCACCGTTTTTTATGCCGAGAGGCATTGAGCTTGATTGAGCTAGATAACCGGACGGCGCAAAGACGACTGTCCACTGGAATCCAATCCAGCACAGCGCGTTCAGCTCTGGGGCTGAGTGCAACTCCCGCGCCATATACTCCACGAGTCGTCGCTTCTGGGTCACCGGACACACGAAAGGAGAAATGTGAAAGAGCTGAGTTCATTCTTGGCTTTCGGAGATGTATCACCGCGCTCGGATCTTGTATGCATGTTTCGGAGACACAGCATACATTAATATTAAGGGAGTATAAGGTCTCAGCAAGCATGGCCTGTTTGCCGATTTGACATATAGTACGGATGTTAAAAGCTCCTACATAAAAATGATCTCGTGGGTTTAGAACGGAGTTATTTTGTTTATTGTTGGTAAGCAGCGAGTAGCATATGGCCCTTCGGTCAGACAATTGACAGTCAATTGGCCCAGCGACGTTTGTTTGTGTGGTGGGAAGGAGTTGGGAAGGGACATCAATGGACACTAAAATGCGGGGGCAAATGATACTTCCAGGCTCTTGGCTTCAAAGGTATTTCCACCGTATTGGATAATGCGCCGCTGGTCACGGTCAACCGTTGGGTGATCGGAGTATGCGGTTTTTGGGGCCGACCTCTTCTATCCCGTCCTTCCTCCGGGGGGAAGGCAGCATGTCTGCTTTTATGAATGTTGGCATGCTGCCTTCACACACCTGCTGCAGAGGACAGTACAACCTTTCCCCCAGATCGCCTCGTAGCACGACTACTCGTAGTACGGTATCTCGCTGCTCTTGGTCTGGTTGCCCTTCTTTTGGCCTTCCTTGCATTGTCGCACCTTGTGGAACGACGTTTTAGCCAGTGTAGCCCGTGGGACCATTGCAACACTCAAGTTCGACCACCATGTTGTGGTAGCAGCTTTAGGTTGGACACCACGTTGTCAAGCGATATTTGCTGTTCCGAAAATTGGTCTGTCTTTGGCACATATCTGAAGCCGGCAATTTCCGTTGTCTGTGCCCAATCGGGCCTTGGTAGCACTTAGTCCACCTGGGCGTTCATATCAGCAGCAACCACAACGAAATCTGAGCTTTTAATCCGGGCACCACGAAATATAGCTCACTGGGTGACGGAAGCACAAATGCCTTTCACATCACCACAAGATTCAGTCTCTCTGTGAAGAATACTGTGAGGGCTGTAACCTCTACACGAAAATTAGGCGTTTTTCACATCCGATGATGATGGTGAGAATGGTGACTGAATGGCAGAACTTCTACCTGCAATACAAACCAGCCAATCTCGTCCAACCATGGCTTTGCTGGAGGCTCGACGACAGCTTTTTTTCTGTTCGCAACCAAACCTCAGCTCGATGTATCATCCTACTCTAATTGAAACAATGTATGTGCAGGTTGGGAAGCCTGGTGGTGGTGTTAAAAACATCTCTCGGCCGTGTACACTAGGCTACAGGAAGGACTGTATTGTTGTACGGTGGCGAGACGTGGCCTCTGACGGCAGATGATGTGAGGCGTCTTCAAGTTTTTATCTCTTTCCTCAACACAGCCTTCCTGGAGTCAGCGAATTCGTAACGAGGTAACAAGGAAACTAGTATTTGGTTGTGCCTCATTTGCGGAAAAATGAAAATCGAAAAGCATGAAGACGAAGTTGTTGCAAGTCATCGTCAGATTGTCCTCATCTATCCCCTCCATCCAGTTTTAAACGGGTCCTGCACAATAATACAGCTTAATACAGTATATTTATTACACGAAAGTGGAATCATAAAGAAAGTAAACCCTGATTTCTGGAATTCCTCTACGTGAAGCACGAAAGGTTCACAAACTCGGTGTTCGGATGACATGTTTTGTTCGTACATCCGACCTTCAATCCAAGGTGTGTTCTTGTAGCAGATTAAAGAGCGGCGAACTATACAAGGCACACATGTTGTACCAGGATGGTACGGACAAAAGCCTAAGTTGTGAACTACCTGGTAATATATGCGCGTAATTGGATTCATGCCCACATATAGTGAGCCTTGTATAACGTTCTTGTTCATCTTGATATCACTGGCGTTCGGTCAACCTCCCTTATGCTAATTTCCACCGCTGAATGGTAATCGTAAATCGGCCGATCAACTTTCGGGTGAATCGTGATATTGATTCTAGTGTTAAGCACGAAGGAGCTAGTTTTCGATGAGCTTCAGTGCTAAGCTTGTTTAATGGCTCAATTCGACGGTTCTGTGTGCGTCGAGAGTGGCCTGGCTATGGTGTGTGGAAGACGGTATTACCCCCTTCTGACTCAGGTCATTTCGAACTCCATGCTTCGCCCTACGTTCCAAAAAGTTGGGATTCGCGAACGCTCAACAAAAAAAACGGTGCTATTGCTTCCAATTGTTATTTAACCCCGCACTTAGCCCATCCTTTAATGTGGGGGGGCAAGTCGTAATTAGAAGTAACATTTCACTCTGGGTGTGCCGGCCGCCTATTATGTTATAAGTGATGTGTAGTTATTTCACCTACCGAACATCGATCTGCTCCTTTCTGACGCAGGAAATTCATGCCTTCTTGAGTTGTCTACCCTTTCAAGGAAAGAGTGAAAAATGGTCATTCTTGTTTTCAGAGATATGCACAAGTTTTACAATCCTAACAACCTCCCCGATCTTGGATACTAATGTCCAAACCCTCCCAACCGGCTGTAAGCCTTTGGCCAAGAGCAGAGCCGTTCACATATGGCATTTTTCAAGTCCACCCCCATCCGCGGTTGGCCGTGCATGTAATTCTGTCGATGCATATTTTCACGCCCCCGTTCAGAACATAAAGAAGTTGGTGAGTTATGCCAAGTCAAAGGGTAAAAGTGGGTTTCCAAAACTAAGGTAAGTAATCGTTCTGCCTTGTGCTTATGCCCCCGAAGCTATCCCGTTTGGAAACATGTTGCATGTAATAAACTTCAACTTACAGAAGATCTTGCATGGATGTGAGGCATATTTCCATATGTCCATCAGCTTTCAGATTGTTTCACACCTGTTTGACGATGGCCACCTGCCAAATGGAGAAATTGCGTGAGACTGAGGACCGCCTATTCAACTCGAGCGGTGTAGCTGAGTCGGGTAAAACCCTCTTGCTGTCATTTATTTTTTGCAGACCGGATAAAGAGCACACTGTCCATTGAGCTCTTCACGTTCGTCCTCTTTCTCTTTATACAACAAATCAACAAGATCTCCTTACGTGCCTCTGCAGTTTCTGCGAATGCTGAGTATGCTTTGTGCTATTTTTTTTACGTTGGTTTAGATGGCCAGGGAGTCATAACAGGTCTTCAGAGCTAGATTCTGGTCGCTCCACTCCAATCCGTCCCTGTCGGGTAATCCCTTTGTTATTATTCACCGAACTCGATAGAACCTAGATGAACAGTACCATTTACAGTTTCTTACGGAAAACCTGACGGAAATATTGGACTTGCTGGTTGAGCCTGGTATGCTGCATACTACGTTTTGTTTAGTTGTTCATCACCAGCTTAAGCACAGCTGTCATTAATTCCCCTCGGTGATGATTTCTTAGGTGCCGTTTAGCTAGAATTCCTTATTTTTTCTCCACATATTCAGCGGACATACAATCACAAGGTTAGTCTGCGGACCTAAACAGAGTCAAGCGTTCATAATGAGACTAGGATACATATGTGGTCACTGCGTACCTTCGACGATTGCGTTTCGGACGCGCATCTCTGACACTACCGCCCTTATGCATCCGAACGTTCTTCAGGATTCCATCTTCCACTCGCCGCGACTCATTGTCAGCGGATGGTGGAGAGTTCAGCGGCCAGGACCACGGTGAATCATGTACATGGTTCGTGGTTGAAAAAACGAATTGAATTTAGTCAGTTTAATCAAACCATCAAAGTGATGTTCTTACCTTCATTGGAATCCCTCCAACAGTGTGTTTGCCGAGAACTGACGATTAGTATGACAGGCTCTGTATTCATCTCATTTCAAGATCTCTCTCATATGAAACCGTCCTGGGATTCTTTAGATTTATCCAGCAAGCAATTTTAACCTGTATCGAAACTACTTTTAAGTGTCCACTAGTGATTTTATCGTCTGTTGATTCGAAATGGTGGCCTCCTAAAGACGAGATTTCTCACGTGCGCGCTACACCCTGCACTTTTTTTTCGGAATATGAATCGCTCGATAAGTTATCAAGACATTAAGTGGATTAGTATCTCAAACTCGCACACACGCGTGCGCACGTATCTTCTGTTTAAAATTTTGCGCACAACTGACTTCACTGGTCACTTTCAAGTTAGTTGGTGTTTGTTGCGAAGAATTTAGTGGCATTTGGTGGCAAGCTAGGGTTCAAGGATCAGTCCGCGCTAGAGGTGTTTTGTCGGTAGCCGGAGCATTCAGGTTATTCGCCCCTCCTCGCATATTTTGTCTTTCAGTTCATTTGAATAAGTTTGCTTAGTATCCCCCTTGCTCATCATTGAATTCATTTTACTTTTTCAGAAGGATACGAGTCGGGCGGACAAGACGCGTTCATTTCAGATGAAGCGATTGATTCATTAAATTTGATCTTCGAAGGCACGTTTGACCAGGGTCGGTACGTTAGCTTCTGTTCATCTGATGCAAATGGTGGTAGCTCACTCGCTTCCTTTTCAGATTTGGTCCGCATGCCAACAATTCAGCCTGCAGCAGGGTACACAAAGGTATTTCGTTTCCCCACAATTTTGTGTTAATCTCATGCGGTTAAGAGTGATTCCGATGAGCGTCTGGGTTATCTGTGTGGATCTCGCACGTTTAAAACCCTTGCTACTCTGTAACTATTCGTGTTTCACTTCTCCGTTTCGCGTCGTGCTTAGGAACCGTGCTAAAGTGAATACAATAGCGAAGTAGTGAACACCTCGCTATCTTGGTTTCACGGAATGGTTTTATACCTCTATCCATATGAATGCCACCCCCGTCTGTGGTAGTTTCAAACAAGAGAGGAATCGGGGCATATTACCGCTAGCCTATTACAACACTGCTAACCGCTGTCGGTTGATAAGGAAAGTCACCCACAGCGCAGGTGCTATTGACAATCGTTGATTTTTCGTACACACTAAAACCCTAGAATAAGGAACACCCTATATTTAGTGACTTTTTGTATTCACCTCTGGAATTCCCGTAGAATCTTGAATAAAGAACATCAAGCACAGTCCTCTGGGTCTGAAAAACTAGCAGACACCGCACCAGACAGTGTTGAAGTTGTTCACTTGAGACCCTCCCTTTATTCATTCAGACTCACAAACTTTTTTGAAAGTGAGGCCCTGTTACAAAGGCGTCGGTATCTTAACAGCCACTCGCGAAGGTGGACTTCCGAGTGAAAACCAATCACTGTACCTCGGATCAGTGTTATCGAGTCGCGACGCCAGGGTTTGTTGGCATGACCGACCGTCAACTGAAAAGGAATACAGTGTGTGTATACGTGTATCTTCCCAGGTTAGAACAAACGTCTTATTTTATCGTATGTTTGACCTTCGTTGAAAGTTACTCCTGATAGTCGAAGCGAGTCTAAGGAGAAACGGAACCGGACCGCAAACTTGTTCTCTCCTCGAACGATAAGCTATCCCAATGAAGACAAGCGTTTGTTCTATACAGAGCCGCCATGACATTTAAGTTGTTGGCTATAGTTCATTTAGCTGGATCACTTGTTTGGTGATCTGCAAGGTACGAACAAAAACGAGTCAATTTTCCGAACTGTGCCATGGTGTTGAGTGGCGCAGAAAGTTCTCGAAAGAGCGCCTTCAACACTTGTAGAACTGTCAAGTTTCCATTAGCACTACAGTTACACTTGGCATAGGCTCACCAATGAACATAATGCAAATAAAACGCACAAGCTTGTTGGCAGCCGGTCAATAGTTTTTGTAAAACAAACCTATCTTCCTAATTACTTGAAAATTCGATAAATGCGGTTTCAAACTCTTTGCGCCCAATCATGTTTTCGTAGGCTGCGGACCAATGCTTTGATTGCTATTTAGTGTTTCGGTGCGCTCCCAAGAGACCGCTGATTGGGGGAATTTAAGTTCTCTCGACGAGTGTTTTTCACTTAGGGATGTTGTGTCGCTAGGAGGTCTGTGGAACGCGCCTGAGCAAATCAAAAGCCAGCAAACTTGAAGTTTCTTCTGGTGCCACTCTGGCATGTACGGAAAAAAAGAGAAATGTACACAATAACTGACAGGCTAAGTAAGGTCATTTGACAGACAAAAACGTTTCATGTCCAATGCGCTTGCGCTGCTTTCTGTGCAGAACCCTTTCATCGATGCACTGGGTTGCTGACCGGTTAAGGCCGTTTTCACTCGACCGCGATAATTACCGCAACTTAATTCCGTGTGCTGCGCATAGCTCCGTCTGATTGGGTATCTCGAGGTTGCGACGATCCGGTCAACTGGCCAAAGTACTTTGTGGCCAACATCAATCGTCCTCTAGATGACCAGACAGCCGCATATCAAGGGGTTGTACCACAGTGTAGTGTCTTCTCAGGAAGTTGTTAAAGTGCGAAACATCGAGCTATGAAATCTTGCGTTTGTCAGATCTGTTTCCTCTGCCAGTCGAAAATGAAAAGTTTCCCAATGCCTCATAGACTAACCGGAGCTATCACCTTCGTGGATTACATTCATGGATCCGCTCGTGGCTAGTTTCCAATCCATTCTCCGCTGAGAATTGCATTCGTAACGGGCGACGTCTTCAGTGGCGTCTCCCTTACCCTGCAACGGCTGATGGAGCCCACGTGTCTACTGGCGGGAATCAAGCCACACAAGACATGTCCAAGCGCCAAAAAATTGCCACAAACGCTCATCAAGTTCCCCGATTTGGGGGAAGAACTGGGTACGTGCCACCTTTCAGTTAATTAGATGGCAAACACTTCTCGTATCCCTTATGTTCACATTCCATTTCACTACGTTTTTTTAATTAGCCATTTTTGCAGCCTAACTTGATAGTCTAAATTTTTTTCACCAAAGGACCTCTAGCACATCTCACGCGACATAATAGCCAGCTTTTATAAAAGTGAGCTAATAATGCGCAGCATCGGATGGTTCGATATTAGGAAATTTAAGTGTCACACTGGGATACCTTCCCTCAGAAGTTGGTTTCAAACCCACGGCGTATGAATCTCCATTCAACTGGTCTCTTGAACCGGCTCTACACATGCTCCCCAATGACCCTATTCAAATTTTCATCTCGCATCTCACCACACTGCCCAGACTTACTTAGGCGTTTTATTCACCGAACCCCTCGACACTTCACAGTCTGGCAGTGTTACATTCCGTCTTCATTTTCACTACTGTATGTCTTTTCTCAACACCTGTTGGCTTCACGTAGGATCTTGGTTACGTATCGGTGTTTTTGCAACCTATGTTGATCCGTTTTTATCAGAATGAGAACCTGAAAATTTGTCTTGGTCTTGCTGTTCTATGCATCTCTAATTCCGTGATTCAGTGTTTGAAACTCGGCTCCATTTAAGCCATCCTCACTTTGAATGACTAACCCGACATGCAGATCTCTTTTGCATACTGATCTACCGAAATCACGCCAAAAAATTATCTATTGGGCGGACGTATTCGACTTCTGTGCTATTTTTGTGATTGCATTCCCGCTTATTTTCACAGAAACAAGCTGGTCTTCATGTCAATGATATCACGGCAGATCATCGCCCGAGTAAGTTATCCCATTAATGGTATCACCTACAGCTGTTCGTTTAACCTGGTTTTTATTATTGCTATGTTTGTGTGTCCGATTTGATTAGCTGCATTCAGGTGTGAGTTGGCTGGTGTTATTCACTGGTCCTGGAGACAAGCATCTAAGTGCATTCCNTTCCTGCCTTCTGCAGCTCGCAAATGTACCCGCTTCTCATACAACAGTCTGTTTTGTGTGGCTGTTTAGTCTCCAGAGAGTTGGTCCTTGCCCACCTCGGGAATAAGGTTTACCTAAAATATGAAGTCCAATGTGAGCGTGCGCACAAATCGCTTGCTCATCGTGCGGGTGCTCTTCCGACCAGCCTAAAGAGAGTGCCTACTCGCCAATTCACTGAAGCTTCTTTCGTAATTCATAGCACTTTCTGGTGGATTAACGGTTGTCCGACACCATCGTTAAAGGGCTCATGTGACCGGCGTTCAAAATTCCCGTCTGAAGATCCGAATCACCATCTAATTGACAATAAATGACGTATTTCCGCTAGTCACCTGTAAAGCCTTTGCCACACCCAAAATGACCCAGCTTACGAGGGCAGGGTAACTTCAACTCGAAGGCACTGTTTCTGTCATCGAGATGCTTTGAGAAGGGGCTCTGTAACTTCGTGTCTTGCGGGATCGCCATCATCGAAACACAACATCAGCGTTTAACACTGATGCTTTGCTGACCATAATTTATGCGCAAGCCCTATTGTGAAAAAAAGAATAAAGGTGGATGGGGAAGGGACCATCCCTAGAATGCAATCAGCTTCTCACTGATTGCACGTTCAGGCACACACACTTTGTGGATGAAAACCTCATTCCAACGTTTGGGACGGTTTTGGTCAGTTCATTCAAAAAAATCTGCTTCGTTTTTCCCTTCGAAGACGAGAATGATGTCCCCTGCATATTCCAGACTGACAGCTATTTGAACGCTAGCGATTTAAAGACCTAACTTCCGTCATTTTACCTCGTCGATCACAAAATTGAATGTACCCGAAGGGAGTTGGATCCTTGTCGGACACCATTCTTTGTAGGAAAGCTTTTAGTGAACCGCTCGCTTACACATATGTCCGCAAGTGTGCGAATACAAAAATCTGTTACGCTGACAAACTTCCTTGCTGAGCANAAAAATCTGTACGCTGACAAACTTCCTTGCTGAGCAAGTGTGAAAGAGAATAGACGGGTCAAAAGAGTCAAATATACCTTAGAAATTCATGCGTACCGAAATTATGTATCTTCTTCACTTATGGTGTCGAATTATGTTATCGGTTTGCACTGTGTTCTGTGTCGGCGGGAGCACTTCTTCGGGGCTCAGGCAATATCGCGCTGATAATGATGATGATGATGAATATCGCGCCATTGCGCTTGAGGAGAGCTGACCGTACCGTCCCAGGCGAAACTTCCGGCATTATGCTTTATACGACTGTACTTCACTCGTTTTTGAACCAGCATTTAGCCTACCACAGGGTCGTCTTTCTGCTTTCTGTTGGAGTGCTCGTGGTATCACAAAAATGGTGATGATCCTTAGAATGTTTCCACTTCACATGTGCCGTTCGTGCGTTGTCTGCCGTTTTGGCAGAACCTTGGTGACTGAATGCAGACACTGTTCTGCAAATCAGGCCTACTGTATCTCTTTTAGTGCATGGGGGCGGTTCATCGCCCGTCCTATGATGGGACGTTCCATATCTATGCGTTTGAACGATCCATGAGGCTGTCGTATGCACTCGCGATTTCCAGACACCGTTATTCAGAAAATATTTGTGGAAGCAGTATATTCAAGGCGATGCTTTAGATCGGAAAACTACGGTTCCTCTGATCAGAGGGAAATCCTTTCGTAGGAACACCGATCGGGTTACGTTGGAGCCTGTTTCAGTACATTATAGTAAACTGCGGAAATGTTTTTCGACCCACGCGTTGAAAGTTGGTGAATTACCGATGCTGAAAATTGCCGTTCCAAATAAATCAGACCAATATGTAATTACGTTTTAGCCGACTGTTTACAATAGCCATGTCTCCATTGTCTTGTCCCACTTAGACAACAAAAGTGAGCGATCCTAGCCCGAGCAAAGCTTTTCAGAATCACATACCTTTTGAAATTTGTGGGGATTTCACACGGTCCGTTTGCACTTGATTTAATTGGAGACATTCGTCATAAACGCCAGTATGACTACATTGACAGGACGGTTAACATTAGCCAGATTTACCCCTCTTTTTTGGTGAGATGGATCAATAAAAGCCGTATCATTCTTCCAGGATATACTGTCAATTTTTACCACTTCTAATAAGTAAACAGTTGGGAGATTCTGAAGTTCCAACTAAGCTCTCGTCTTTCAAATAAAGAAGTATTTCCGTGTAGAGAATTGGAGAAACACTATAGCCAATCCCTCCTTATTGAGAATCATCAGTAGTACGCACCTGACAAATTTTCAAGAAGGGCTGAATTCACGACATACATGTTATCACATGATCATCAGGTGGTTGGTCACTAGGATGATTAACTTACACATCGTATTAATCCTGCCGTGGTGTGTAAAATGGTAACACATGCCCGTCCTTTGCCACCCACATATAACACAATCCCTCAACAAGGGACGTCTTCTAGTTCTCCATGGAACTATGGTCGAGATTCCTGTAAGATGTAAGCGCATTACGACGGACCAAACGACCTTGAGGCCTAAACACCCTCCTTAAAAGACGTCGCTGGCTGCCGTTTTTTCTCAGTATCGTGGTCATTCATTCCGGCGTGTGAACTTTTATGCGAATGAGTTTGTTACTAGCAAGCTGGTGCAGTATTGTGTTTTGACGTCAACTTGTGAAGACAGACTACGGGTGAACTTAATCACACTCCAAACCGATCCAGTACTTTCTTGCCAACGTTGTTGAATAGTCAGTTGTCATGTGAACGTGCGTTTTATGGGTGTTTTTTTTATAGACAAGAGCTAATGTGCGAGTTTTTGCTGTTGTCGTTTGTTGGCTCAGTGGGAGGAGACATACTTGGCCTAAACTTCACAATTCCCTTATGGAGGCCACGTGCGTTTATGGGTGTTTTTTTTATAGACAAGAGCTAATGTGCGAGTTTTTGCTGTTGTCGTTTGTTGGCTCAGTGGGAGGAGACATACTTGGCCTAAACTTCACAATTCCCTTATGGAGGCCCATTTGCCTGCAACAGCCGATGCGGCATCACTCCTTGAGTTAGGAAACAACGGATAGATGATCATTCATACCTCGATCACCTAACCAGAGTTAGGTTGGAAAGGAAACTTGGAAAGTGATCTGCTCTTCCGTTGAGTGGCAAGTTGTTCGAACGAAAACAAGCGGTGCCTGAATACGGGGCACCAAATCTCAGATCCCGAAGGTGTCAGAAGACGAATAAAACCACTTAGTCTTCCAAAAAGGCAGGGTACAAAAATAGTTGCAATGTGTGGCGCCTAATGGAGGGACCTAGTTTCAGGGACCCACGAACGTCCCAAAGCCACTTCTATCTCCGGTACGCTGCTGAATGGACGAGCGATGGAGGAAAGACATGAGATGAGGAATGGGTCTCACAACATACGCGGCCAACTGCCATGCGTTGAAGCGATACAGTAAGTTATTGGAAAAAGCAACCGCAACTTCTTCAACTAAATCGATTACGTGGCAAAGTGGACAATACTGACAACACTAAATAGTCATGTTGAAAGGCGGGAAAGTTTTTCAACAGGATGCCTCCAGCAATCACTGAAATTAGAGACCGTTCGAAGGAAGTACGGCTATACGACATAGGCCTGGCAGTGGATATCATACAACCGTGTAATATGGTTCGGATATTGACCTATCAGATTTACTTTGAAAGTGGATCTCTTCTTGAAAAAATCGTTTGTATTTAGGCATGTTGGGTAGACCTAGGATAAATTCATTGATTATTATTCAGTATTTTGAGGAAAGTCCTCAAGACCCCTAAAGAGCTGGTATCGCACACCCAGAACGCTTTGCTTTTCCTGATGGATATCCTTCAACGAAGGGCTACTATTCACCCTTATGTCGTCTAGTCCGGTGTCAACGGCTTGGCTAGTGATAGTTTCTCGCGTGGAAAGCCCATGCAGCTTGTGGAATAATTTGAATCGAATTTGACGCATGTTTCACTTTTCAATGACATTTTCTGCTTTTGGCGTTTGCTTTCTATTTTCCAGAGTTCGGCTACATTGGACGGAGCCACTTTGAAAATTCATCGTGCCCATTGCAGTTACCTGTATCTGTTGTCCCCCATGAGGTTCGTTTCCGGTCTTTCTATCTTTCTCATAAACTGTTCAACACTAAGTCATTCTCTTAAAACGGTTGTAGAGGAGCTTTAGCCGTCGGAAGGAGTGACGACCTAATCGAAGATAGAATAACCGCATCAAGCTCATTTAGTAATCACTACTGAACTAGTAGCCCCTGTTCTACAGGCGTACGTTTTCCACCTCGTCTCCAGTATATCAGTAGTATCAGCAGTAGCCGGTACGGCTACTGCTCACTATTGTCTTCTAGAGCTCTCCGAATCGCTATGGCTTGCTTAGTGATCGCATATTTGTGATTTACGCTGTAGCTCTATTGATTGGTTTCGAAACAGCTCCGTCGTTCCCGCTGACCCATCGGCTGTTTGTTGCAATCCTCTGACGCGTGCCATTCTTACCAGCCGCAACACCAAACTCTGCCCTAACTTCGGAATCAGTTTCAGGCTCCCGGGAATTTATAGAGAGAATGTTGTGTTTTCGAATTCAACCAACACATTCTCGCCATGTGCTTCACGTAATCCAGTTTCATTCCTAAGTGTTTGCGTTGATTTTTTAGTCTATTAGGAAATGACCCCATGGCCGAGTTTTTTCAACACATGCGCTTAAAGATGTGCACTGGCAGATGAAACATTTTGTAATTCTTGGGAATACACCCATTCACATAGCAAACGCCACCGGATGCTATCACCTCAAGTATAACATTGAAACACTGCTCCAGGTGTTAGTGTAAACACATATTTCATAGCTACTACTTAATGGTCGGTGCTGCATGCGTCTCATTGGTTCTTTCCGCTGGCTGATTGGTTGCCCAGTATTCCGTCCGTATGGGGAGATTTCGGCACTTAATTGATTGCTCTTATCATGATAAGATTGAGTGGCTAGACAGGTTCCCTAAACTTATAATGTCCCAGGTCTGAATGAGTCCTTTTCATCGCTCCAGGTCTGTCACACTAGACAAATGTCGGAAACTCACCATAGTCCTTGGTCCCATCGAGAATACGCTTCAGCTGAACCAGTGTGAGGACTGTCTAATCATAGCTGCATGCCGACGCGCTGTTCTTGTGTCCTGTCGACGATGTACACTTCATTTGTGTATTCAGTCTCGACCAATTCTTATCCAACCGCCCGTTCCAACTGCTACGGCCGGTGGAACAACAAGTCCCAGTTTAACTGGGAACGGGCCCGGTCCTGCACCAGGAACTCCTACTTCAGGAGGAGCTGCTATCTTGTTGGGAAACGAGGAAATCCTTTTGGCTCCCTTCCACACAACGTACTTGAAACTAGTTGATCACATGACTCGAGCAAACCTTAGTACCAAAGTGAACTATTGGGATCAGCCCTATTTGTTCGGTAAGTTGTGTCTGGTTTGTACAGCTTGGCCGAACAGCACATTCGCGTGTGCCATCCTTGTTACGGACGAATGCTTACCTACTTGTTCGCGAGCTTGTGTTTTTATTTAGACATCCGCATATGAACGTTTCGCTGTGACGAGTTTGAGTTAGGCAGACGGTGGTGTGTCCTGAGTTCTCACATCATAATAACCTTTCTTTCTTGGTCGGGGGGAGGGTACCGATAATGCTGCCTCTGTAGCAAGTTTCACATGGAATATGGGGACTCTCCGTGAATTCCATGCGAGCGGCACTTCCTCTCAAAAGGACTGGACGTGGTCGAAACTGTGGTCTGAGTTTGAATTACGATTGGGCTTACGAGTGAAAATGCAGAAACGGCCGTCTGCATTTGCGACTTCCTATAGTGTCTATTCATTCGTTCTTCACTGTAGGCATACATTTTGCACTGACATCTTTTTGACCTCATCTCCCCCCATCACTTTTGGCTAATCAGTCGCTAAGTAAGCGGTAAATTATAAGATCCCCAGACGCTCCGAATAGGGGTCGGACGGACCACGATGAACGTTCCCCGACAGATTTCTGTAAGTCTCTCCTGCTCTGTAGAGGCCACCCCTTTTCCTCCCTAGAGCATGCACGCTTTCGTTACCAGACAAGCGGTCCCATCACGCGAGATAAGCCATCGACCTCAGGATCTGTGGCCAGAACTAGTCGTTTCAAGGACATATCAACAATACCGAGCAATATAAACCCGGAAGGTAAACACACACCGTGTTAGCTTCTAACCAGTCGAATTCTGGTTAACCAGCTTAACCAATTCAGATCCAAAGTTCTGTCGATTTCACATAATGACAACATCCAGGTAGAGTTCCTCCTTCAAAGTGCTACTCCGGCCGCCGTAAGCTATTTCTCAGCTCTTGCTGGCTTTGTCGAATGATGTCCACTTGGAATGCTGCTCACGGAGACGCAGTTTAAGCTGATGTAGGAATGCAACCTCGGAGCTACCTAAACTTAAGATGCAAACTGATGCTCTAGTAGCAACTATTTTTAAGGTGATTTTTGGATGATCATAGCACTTTTCATCACTAGTCGGGATCGATCTCCGATCGTACTAAGTTACTTCTGCAGATGATAATGCTTTCGAAAATAAGGTCAAAGCGGGCAAGAAGTCACAATTGACGTGAACAGGTGCTACTTGAGCTGTCTGTTTTGAAGTAACGACCGAGAATTGTAAAGTTGAGGGATACTCATCGTGAGTGGAGCAATATTCATATCACGAGCTAAACTCATGTGGGAAACGCTTAATACTTACTGAGGCTCAGAATTCCCCGTACGTGTCTCTACATAGTAAGGTAATGTTGATTCCTATGTACTACCTTTTGATAGTATCCACCCCCCATACCTCCCCAAGAGAGTTCACGAAGTCGTGATGATCAGGTTTTTGGCCATACATACAGTGGATCCAGCTTAGCTAACGCTGCTGAAGGTTTGGTGTTAGGATTGTTGATTAAAATGCAAACAGTCGTGGATACCATGAATTGATAGACGAACGCATCATCATCATCATCCCCTCTGTTACGCCACTCCGAATTGGGCATGGAAAATAGTACTCTCTTCGGCAAACGATGGTTCGGCATGCGTAAAACATGTCCCAACCCAAGCAGCTTCTGGTGCTGGACACATTCTTCAATGGATGTACTCGTTACACAACCGAAAACACGCTTTCTAACTGCCTCGTTACGGATTCGCTGACACCAAC